CCCGCCCCGCCCCCCGGAGGGAGCGGTTTCGCCGGGAACCTCGCGAGTCCCCGCGGGTCCTAAAGCCGGCCCGGCCCGCGAAGCCGCGCTCCCCTCAGATTCCTCCTTGGTTTCTCTCAGTCCGCTGGAGGCGTCGGGTGAGGGGGCGCTCACGTGTTCGGCGACCTTTCGGACGCGGGCAGCGTGGCTGTGGCGTGGAGAAGCCCTCCACACCGGCAGGCGCGCCGCGCCAGGCCCGGCCGCAAGGGGCCGGCTGAGGGCGCGCGCCGCGGACCCCGCGCCGCCGCCGTACGCCCCGCCCGAGAGCCGCGCGCGCCGTCCGACCGTCGGCCGACCGCAGAGGAGCGGGACCGCGGCTGAGAGCCGTGCTTTTTTCGGAGGACCGCGACTTCCGGGAGCCAGGGAAGGTTCCCTGGTTAAACGGGGGCTCCCTCCTTCCGGGCACAGCACACCCAGAATTGCTCAGGACTGCTGCAGGTCCTCCGATCGGCCAAACGGAGAAAGTAGAGCAGAGACACCCTAAGATAAAGGAACAAGTTGGGAAAGTCCAAAGAAGGTTTAAATTACCTTTTAAAAAAAAAAAAAAAAGAAAACGGGGCCCAAACCTGTAAAATGGGCTAGTGGGGGGCACCTTTCCGCAGGGTTTTCAACCCCCCCCCACGAGAGAAGCATAAATGTTCCCAGTTCCGGAAATAATTCGTCTCATTTCTTTGAATGCCTGCACTCCACTCTTGATACTTTAAAAGTTCTGCTTAACTACTTTATACCTCTCGCTCACCCACCCTGAGAAAATTTTTTTCTGCAAGAGGAGTCAGCGAACCTGTGATCTTACTGTGCAGGTAGGGTGGGTAAGGTTTATTATCTCCACTTCAGAGCCTCAGGCATCCCTCCAGTGTCGTGGTAGCTAGTCCTCTGCCTGAGTTGGGTGAACTTGGCTGCCTTCGGACTTACCCTAGGCTACAGCTCCTGGCTGGTGTCGCAGGTCCTCCTAGGCACAGGGCGGGGAATTTGCTCCAGGGACGGGATCAGTATAGCTTGTGCTGGGGAATAGCGGACTGGGAGAATGCCTGCATGGTCATCTCCAGCAGTTTCTTTTCATTTCTGATGTCTAATTCTGGGCATGGGAGAAATTCTAAGATACAAGGGAAATGAGCTGAGTGACTCAGAAAGATAGGGATGTCACAGCAGTGTAGGTTGCGATCGAGATTCTAGGGGTTATGTTCTCTCAGGCTCCTTCTGTGTGGCCTTAAACCAGCTTCTTGACTTCTCAGAGCCTTGCTTTCCTGCAGTCTAAGGGATATGACAATACCTCACAGAGTGCTTGTAAAGTGGCATAAAATCTCTTGATAGTAATAGTAGTATTGGGGAAGAAAACTAGGAGACCCTTTGGTGTTTCATCTTGGATGATAATTCAGTCTCTGCCTTCCAGAACTTAAAAAATACAAGCATACATTTAAATATGCTTTTAAAGTACTGTTTGTAGAGTGCTACTCTAAGCTAATAAAAATAAGAAGAGAATGTTGATGTGTCTGTCCTACCATATCCAAAAAGTTCATTGCCTTGTCCTGTTCTTCGTGGCTGTCTGTGATTAGAGCAACTATCTCCAGCCTCTTTTTTCTGAAGTGATCTCATTATCTCAACCACGACTGGATTAAATGAGCTGGTACTTCAGACATAAACTCCCAAGCCCTAACCCAGATCCAGCAGTCAGAACCTTGGAGGTAGAATCCATCATCTCGACTTTTAAGGCTATGCTTAGTGGTACAGCTGTACAACATTAAGAACCACAGGTTTAGCATTTTGATTCCTATGCAGGGTTTGGGGGAGAATTAACCTGCCTTCTGCAGCTCTCTATCCATTGTGTACTCCAGGAGGGCCTGCACTTGGACAGTTTGGTTAACTAGCGCTCCGAGAATAGTGCCTGGTACTTCATCAGTGCTCACATATTTGTCAAATGAATCCTTTCACAAAAAGGTACAATCTGGCGTTCCATGTTAGAGAAGACTCTCAGATTCTTTTTATTAATCCCTGGTAAGCTTGACCTTGTATGTTTGCCCCCTTTACTGGCCTTATTCTAGTTACACATGATCACAAGACCTCCCCTACATACCTAGAATAGTCTTCCATCCTTCTGCCTGACTCACCCCCATCAGGAGCAGTCCAAGGGGTGAGCATAACCAGGTGGCTTATGATTCCCCAATATAGGAACATCTTTCTATTCCAGAATTCCAGGAATCTTAGCAATAGCTGAGAGGTAAAAAGGTCTTAGAATTATAACCCTCCCTGGGTTTTATTTTTATTCATCGATTTATTTATTTTGCAATTATGGGAGCCAAGGCTTTGCATGTGCTAAACAGGTACTGTAGCCCTGAGCTACATCCCCAGCCCACACTTTAGGGTTTACATGTGGAAAACCTTAAGAGTAACTGAGGGTGCAGAGGGCAGTATGAAGAAAAGACAAGAGAGACATAGTGTAACCCAGGTAAATGAGAGAAATAATTTGAACCTTCAAAGCAGCCAATACTTCAGTTCTCTCACAGTAAGCATGGAATGTTGCTACTGACCCTTGCTGACTACTCAGTTTCACCCAGTCTCATTTCTGTGTCCCACAGAGGAATCAGCTTCAAGGCAAAAGTCCTATCCTACCCACCTTTGGAATCCTCAGTACTGAAGATCATACGTTGCTTGGAACGTGCACTATGCATGGTTGTTGAACAAATACATGAATGAATGGCAAAAGTGTCACATTAAATGATACATAACAAGACACAGCTCATTTTCTCAAAAGACCACATCACCTCATTTAAAATTTTTATTGAACAAATGTAAAGTTGGACCCTATTGTTCTGTTTTACTTATTTGTGCTCTGAATTTGGCAGTGTATTCTGATGCAAGAAATAAGTTATAAAAAACCTGAGGTTTGCCGTGACAGTCTATGTGTTCTTTTGTGTAATCATTGCAACCACTGAATGAAGTAGGAGTTACCAGGGATGACTTCAGTTTTACCACTGAGCAAAGCTAGGAGCTAGGAGAGTGGAGAAACTCAGCTACTGAAGAGCTTAGAAGTAACAAACCCGTGATATAAACTCACAGGCCCAACACAAAACCCATGCTCAGAACCCTGCCCTATCAGAGTGTAAGAAGTGGGCAACAGCATTTTTTTTTTTTTTGGCTCCTGAATCTGCCACAGAGTGTAACACAGTAATTCAGTCACTTTTCTTCTGTTTTCAGCCTGAAGGAGTACAGTGTTCCTCTCAGGAATGCAATCTCCTGTTCCTCATTGGTGGGCTCTGAAGATACTCAATTACAGGAATGGAAAGGCTTAATTTCTTCTAACATTTCTTCTGTGTTTGGAGGTCTGAGGGCAGCAGTACAAGTAATATGCTAAACATTCTCATACTGTTGTCACATGAGCATTTCAATAAAGACAGCAGACTTGGATGCGAAGTAAGCTGTAACAACCAGCTCTCAATGAATTAAGAGCTTATTTTCATATAGCTAGTTCTAGAAGGAAGAAAACATTGCGATTATGAAATGTGCGTTTCAGTTTCTGCGAAATACATTTCTTCCCCAAATTTTCCAGTCGTAATGAAAGAAAGTTGTAACTGCAGTCTAAAGTGATATTTTGTCTCATTTTCCTGAAAATATGTGAATAAGAAATCATTTGGTCATAAGAAATCATTTGGTCAGCTGTGGAGCAAGTATAAGGACATATAAGTTGGTTATCTTTCAATTCCTGAACAATAACATCAAGGAGCATACAGCAAAGATGTTAGCAGTAATATTTTGTGTACAGTAAGGCAACTGGCTCCATATTAGTGACATTGAGCGCAGACCACTACGGGAGGTTGAAGTCATTGTTTCAGACAGATGGTGTCAGCGTAGGCTATTTTCTTAGTGATCTTCTGGAGGCATTTTTTTTTTTTTATTCACTTGAGAACTTACTCTTTTCCTCATGAGGTAAGCAGATGGGTAATTTTCTCTGACTGTAGTACTCCTTTAGTACTTTCAACTAAACAAATAAAATGTGAACTTTGCCATCTTTGAAGACATCAGATATAAACTGATGTCTATTCTCCAGAGAAAGATCTCTAGGAAGATAGGATGTAAACTAATATTCTGGTTCATAACTATGCAAAAAATGAGTATTCGGGAGTTGGAGATTTGAAGGTAGTTTATAGGTCAGAGAAACCCCCAAGTTTATGGTATTTCTTCTAAAATTTTCCAACTGGTTAAGTATAAAAAAGTTAAGTATCTAATGTTGGCATATGATCATACATAATTCCACTGAGACTATGCCTGATGATATTGCTAATTACCTTGTGGACAAGAGTTTCACATTTTCTTGAGAATAGATTATTGCATCACCCACCAAATCTAAAACTAAATTTGAATGGTAAATGCTTAAATAGTACCAGATTTTATTGTTGAAGGTGTTCATTCTCTCGTGTTTCTTCCTCTTCTTTATTGTATATTTTCACTGTTCTGCACCAAAATAAAACTGAATGAGAGAGGAGGAAAATATATACTCAAAAGCAATCCTAGGTAACAAACGCAAAGCAAAGAGGCATTACAAGACTTAAAGTTATATTACAGTGCTAAAAATAAAAAACAACATGGTACTGGCATAAAAACAACACATAGATAAGTGGAACAGAATAAAGGAAGCAAAAACAACCCCAGGCACATTCAGTATTTGATGTTTGGCAAAGAAGACAAAAACACTGGATGAAAGATGGCTTCTTCAATAAATGGTGATGGGAAAACTGGATAGCCACATACAAAAGATTGAGTTTAGACCAGTATTTCTTACCACATACTAAGCTGAAATCAAAGTGGATCAAAGATCTAACTGCTAAAACAGAGACACTTAAACTGCTGGAAGATAAAACAGGTAAAACTCTTGAAGATACAAGTATACTCAAAGATTTTCTGAACAAAACCCCAGTTGCATAAGAAATAATACTCAGAATCAACAAGTGAGATCATACCAAATTTTGTTTGCAAAGAAAACCAAAAGTGAAAAGTCAGCCTACAGAATGGGAAAAAAAAAGTGCCAGATAGCCCTCTACAAAAGATTAACATCTAGTGCCCAGCGTGGTGGCACATGCCTGTAATCCCAGCAGTCGGGAGGCTGAGACTGAAGGATCGTTGCCAGTTTGAGGCCAGCCTGGGCTACAAAGTGAGCTCAAGGCCAATCTGAACTGCGTAGTGAGACACTCTCTCAAAAAAAGACAGAAAAAAATGAAAAGATTAACATCTAGAATATATAAAGAACTCAAAAAAATTAGACCCACCACCAAATAAAAGAACCCATCAAAAATGGGCAACCAAAATGAGTAATCACTTCTCAGAAGTATAAATGACCCAAAATGACATGAAAAAATGTTCCAAAATCACTGACCATTAGAGAAACACAAATTAAAGCAATGAGATTCCATCTTACTCTGCAGAAAATGGCTCTCATCAAGAAATCAACCAATATCAAATCCTAGTAAGTTTGCGGGGTTGAGGGGCAGGAGACTTCTACATTGTTGGTGGGCATGTAAATTAGTATGCCCACTGTGAAAATCAGCACGGAGGTTCCTCACAAAAACTAATAACAGAAATTCCATTTCACCTAGATATTCCTAAGTATCTTCCCAAAAGAGCTAAAGGCATTATATTACAGTGATATAGGCATATCCATGTTTATAGCAGCACATTTTATAATAGCTAAATCTTGGAAATGCCTGTATACCCGTGAACAGATAAATGGATAAAGAAAATGTGGTCTTTATAAACAATGGAGTACTACCCTGCCATAAAGAATGATAAATGAGGCATTTGTAAGTAAATAGATGCACCTTGAGATCATAATACGAAGTGAAGTAAATCACATTCAAGCTTACATATCACATTTCTCTTATGTGAGAAACCCTAAAAATAAAGAGCAAAAGAAAAGATAATAGGAAGTAGGAAGCTCTTTTTCAAATGGGAGCGGGAACAACTGATGGAAGGAGGGAGAAGCAACTGGAAAAGGATATGGGAAAAAAAGAAAGGAAGAAAAGGAAATAGAGATTTTGCGAATGGGAAGGGGACCAAGAGTTGGAAGGAGCAAAAATAGGAGGGGTAAGGGATGAAAGAATTACGATGTGTATATGTACCAACTCCCCACAATAAACCGTACTGCAGATGGGCTGAAGTTGTGCTAATAAAACTAAATGTAAAAAATTGGCTTTTGATAAAATACTGTCCATGAATATAGATATAGACAGCATTGAAAGCAATGGTGAAATGTGCATCTTTTTAAAAATCTCTAGTACCATCAGAGTTTGGAGGACTAGTAAAAAATTGGTAAGTAAAAAGTAAAAATTTGGTAAATAAAAAGGCAACATTAAGTAAAGCCACTCATAGTTATTACTGCTAATTAACCACTTTTTATTTGGATGAATCCCCTTTTTTTTTTGCCAATGCGCACACGCACACACACACACACACAAGCTCTCAAGTATTCTCTTTCCATTTTTGCATTTGAGAGTTAATTTATGAAATAAAGTAATCTTTTCTATTTTAATTTACACTTACCAATATACCATCAATTTCTCTTTGTAAACAAAGCATGCACTCATCATTTTCAACAGTGAATAATACTCCATTCTTTGATGGAATATTAGAGTATTTAACAAATCCAATATTAGTGGTCATTCAGGATTTTGAGCATAACTAGCAACCTGTATTAGAATATATTTGGTTGCCAGTGACAGAACCCAGTTTAACTAACTTGCACAAAAGAGAAAATATATTACCCAAGGTAACTGACAAGAGTAGAAGTGAAGCCAATTTTCAGCATGACTGGGTAAATAGGTCCATGCCATACCTTCGGCTATCTCTCTCAGCTCTGCTATCCTGCCTGTCATTCTCATCCTTTTTTTTTATTTTAAAGAGGGTAGTACAAAGAGGCTAGGGATTTAGCTCAGCGGCACAGTGCCTGCCTGGCAAGCGCAAGGTCATGAGTTCGATTCCCAGTACCAAAAAAAAAAAAAAAAAAAGAGTAGTACATGAGAAACAAACAAACAAAAAAATAGAACAGTAGCAGCATACCAGTGTCATGAACATAAA